ATTCTGTGCCGCAAGCCTGTTACCGCCTGGCGAAACCAACAGACCTGTCGCGACTTGTTGACAACTTGCCGCAAGCCGGTAAAATCAACAGCTTGCGACAGGCCTGTGAGATTTCTGGCTGTGTAGTTGGGATCAAAATTTTGGAAAAGTGGTAACCGTTTCCCGCTCGTGAAACAAAATGACTGAAAATTGCAACTTTCGCAAGGCTATATTATCCGCATTTTACAACATTTCGCAACGAAACTTTGGAATATTACTAATTTTGTGATGCTCTTTCATGCTGTGATGGAATTCTGTCTAGACTTGTTGAGAACAAAATTTTGATTAATATGGGATTAGTCCATTCACAGGACATTAGGGACTGGTTATAAAGTAACTGCTAGGGTGGGCTGGAGGTAAATCACAAATTTTGCCAATAAGTTTGGTTACCCATCTTAGGATGTAGATAAAAATTTCAAAGTCCATCTAATCTTACAAAAAAAAATTCATGACCCACCCAATCTAAATTGGGAAAATACAATTTATAATAAAAAAAAACTTGCAGGTATGAACATTGTAAATATACACGGCACTGTATTGACGCACATAATTCCACCAAGCTTGACTAACCCATTGATACTGAGCTGCTCTCCAGTTGGTTGTATTTGCTGTGATTCGATCGACCACTTCTTGTTGTTGTTGTATAAACAAAGTACTGGCTTCAATAGCATCATTTGCATTTGTTAATGCACCAATTCGTTAAGCAAATATTCTAGGACAATTAAGAAAACAACTATGACATACACAATGTTGTGGGAGAAGGGTTGTCGAGGAGAAATGCTCCGATTATACTTTAAACTGTGGCCAAAGTGTCGCCCCACAGACTCACTATTACAGCAATATGATTATGATATAATTATATGTCCTCAGGGGGTTGTGGTTCCCCCATGTTGGACTTTACCCAAGGGGTAGTAGATCCCCGAGATGGGCATCTTAAATGTCCAAGGGGTAGTAGATCCCCGTGATGGTCATTGTTTACTTTAATGTCCAAGGGGTAGTAGATCCCCGTGATGGTCATTGTTTACTTTAATGTCCAAAGGGTAGTAGATCCCCGTGATGGTCATTGTTTACTTTACAATACACTGTATAATACATTGATTTGTGTGAGTCTATGGGGTTGAGGTGACCTTTGGGAGCACTCTATCCCCAAACAACCAAATATTTTTATTTATATAACCAGACTTGCAAAGTCAATTCCCATACTGTATATTACAAAATATAGATGTGCCTGTAATAACATATTAACCAGTAAACTACTCGATAATACTTTATCTAGAACACTACATGAATTCACGATGAATTGCATTTCATGTGAATCTTGATGACGGATTGCATATCAAAACAATATTTACAGATTTTTATTTATTATGTGATACAAGTTATGATATAGTGGTGCAAAATCCTTGAAGGGTGGGATGGGTGGTAATTTTGAAGTACTTTGCCACAGAGGTCATACAATTTTGCTTGCAAGTGACACAATGAGGCTTACTGATCCAAGCAGGCAATTATGCAGACGAAGAGGTGAAACCTGATTGGTCTATTTTCCCGCACGCATGGGAAGAGATTTGACAATGGTTTGTTGTTAATTCAGCCTTGCGCTTTGCACGTGTATGATCACACGATTCACAGATTGACCTTTGTACCAGACCTTTGTACTCCAGGAGACTTTGCACAACTTTACTCTTGTCCTAACGCTTGTTTCATTAACTTAAGTTTATAATGCTATGGGCATGTATAAACTTGCTTTAATGCACCAATTCGTTAAGCAAATATTCTAGGACAATTAAGAAAACAACTATGACATACACAATGTTGTGGGAGAAGGGTTGTCGAGGAGAAATGCTCCGATTATACTTTAAACTGTGGCCAAGTGTCGCCCCACAGACTCACTATTACAGCAATATGATTATGATATAATTATATGTCCTCAGGGGGTTGTGGTTCCCCATGTTGGACTTTACCCAAGGGGTAGTAGATCCCCGAGATGGGCATCTTAAATGTCCAAGGGGTAGTAGATCCCCGTGATGGTCATTGTTTACTTTAATGTCCAAGGGGTAGTAGATCCCCGTGATGGTCATTGTTTACTTTAATGTCCAAGGGGTAGTAGATCCCCGTGATGGTCATTGTTTACTTTACAATACACTGTATAATACATTGATTTGTGTGAGTCTATGGGGTTGAGGGTGACCTTTGGGAGCACTCTATCCCCAAACAACCAAATATTTTTATTTTTACAACCAGACTTACAAAGTCAATTCCCATACTGTATATTACAAAATATAGATGTGCCTGTAATAACATATTAACCAGTAAACTACTCGATAATACTTTATCTAGAACACTACATGAATTCACGATGAATTGCATTTCATGTGAATCTTGATGACGGATTGCATATCAAAACAATATTTACA